TGAAGCAAGTTAGAGTTTTCAATTCTCTGGTGTTTGAATTGCCAGAGAAAAAAATGTGGTTTGTGTTGTTAAGACAGATAGCAAAATTGTCTTACAGAGTACATGACATGCAGGATACTGTTGAAATCCAATTGTGCAAACTGTGAAACCTTTTGTGACTATATTGAACATCTTGAGCAAGAAATTGAATCTCAAAATGTTGCAATATTAAGAAATAAGCAAATAGCTGTGGTATCTAAAAAAAAAAGCAATCAGATACAGCTCAGGCCTCATATATCCCGGACTCAACCAGGGGTACAGATGAGGGCAGTGAGACTACTGTTCAGAGACAGAAATTACTTGCTAGAGCATCTAAGTTGAAGTTACAGATTCAGGATCAGTTAATGAAAATATTGAAGGATATACCAGCATATAACATGAGAGAAAATTCTTTCCATAATTCCGATGATTTTTTGAGAATTTTTGTGATAGGTTTCAATTAACTGATGAGCAAAGAAATCGCATTTTTGGGTTGTGGATCCCAAGTTTTATGGCTCGTAGGTTAGTCAAGACTCCTTTTATGAATGAGGATGATATGGAAATTCATAGCAATGCTACTGATAGATTACGACAGTTATTACTGTTCACAACAGGAGAGGAGACACCTAGTTTGGAAATTTTAGACTCCTTAAGAGCTACTATTAATGATGATCCTTATGATTTCAGACTTTAAATTTTCTAAAGCATACAGGATGATTTTTAATTTACAAGATGAGACCCCTGCTATGGGCAAGGATTTTGTAAAAAAATGTAAGTACCTTGATCCAGCATCTTTATTGATTGCTAATGAAAAGGATAATTTGGATGACGCTGCCTATGTTATTGACAAAGTCAGAAGACAATTAAAGCAAAATAATGTAAGACCAACAATTGCTTTAATTGAGAATAGTTATCCTAAGAATGAAAGTCAGGATGAATTCAAGACAGGAAATGCTGCCCCCCGCAGAATGACGAAGTAAGACAAGGGAATCAAAGACCACTCACTTGTTATTATTGTGCAAAACCAGGGCATTTGAAATGGCAATTTAGGAAGTTTTTGAAAGACATTCAGATGAGAAATTTGGGTAAAGAAAATGGACTTATTTCTCCTGAACCGTCAGCTCCAATTCGTTCACAGGAAGTTAAGTCATCTTCACCCTACGCTCCTCTGATCAGAGAGATTAGTGAAATGTCAATTAGTAATGGAGGAAATGTGAACAACTCACATTCATCCAATACTTCAAGACAGCCACTATTACCTTCACCATGACTAGCAAAGGAAAAGGAGGTTGAACTCCATTGTCTGGAATATGTAGCTCCAATTTTCTTAGACAAGTGTGGGCGTGTCCCTATGTAAAAGCCAAAATTAATGGTCAGAAATCTTCAATCCTTTTAGATTCAGGAGCCCAGATTAGTGTTTTAGGTATGAAATTACCTATTCCATCTAATGCAGCAATATGCACAGTTGTAGGGTTCAATGGGAAAGGTGATGTTCAAGCTAAAAAATGTAAAAATGTGTCTTTTGAAATACCAGGATGTTTGCGAACGGAAATAGACTTTTGGTATTGTCAAGGATCAGAGAACATTATTGGTGCTGATGTTTTGTCTCAAAGAGGGTGGATACTTGATTTAGCCAATGGCATTGTTTGGCAAGGCTCTGCTAATCGTATGCCTATGGTAATTGACCCAGCAGATTATTGTGAAGTCGGCAGCATCTGTTTGACAGAAGCAATTGATGCTGACTATAAATGGCCAGATACAGGAGATAATTTGGAATTGAAACAGTTAGTACAACTACACAAAAAACTGTGGAGTCAAGGTAAAGTGAAGTAGGTCTATTTAAGGATATTGAAGTTAATATTCAAGGCAAAGACCATCCCCCCATTAAAAAACAATACAAGTTGCGCCAGAATCTGATGAACCTGTATCAGTAATCATACAAGAACTTTTGGAACAGGGTATTATCAGGAAAGCTAATTCAGTTTACTAATAATCCTTTGTGGGTAGTGGCAAAGCGTGATGACCCTAGTGCATATAGATTATTGATAGATCTAAGAATGCTAAACAAATACACTCCAAGTTGTACACCCATTGTGGCAGAAACTCCAGACATCATGTCACAAATAAATGCCAATGCAAAAGTGTTCTCTGTACTTGACATTGCAAATGGATTTTTTAGTATTAAATTGGCTGGTAGAGTTGCCAATACAAGTTTTCTTTTGTCCATAAAATGTGCAATATTGTCTCAAATGTCTTCCAAAAGAATATCATTCTGCTAAGTATATATTTCATCAGGCATTAGCAAAAGTTTTGTCTAAATTTTCTAGACCTGATTGTTTACTTCAATATGTAGATGATATCTTGCTTATGACGGATTCTGAGATTGAACACAGGACTCTCTTGGCAGAATTGTTTACACTTCTGCAAGATGAAGGTCTCAAGCTGAATACACGCAAAGTTCAGCTCATGAAAAATGAAGTAAAATTTCTTGGAGTTTTGATTGGTCCAGGAAAGAGACAGCCTTTACAGGAAAGAATTGAGTCTATTGCGTCACTTCCTGTACCAACAACATTCAAAGCACTGAGGACAGTTTTTGGGTTTGGTAAATTTCTCTAGAGATTTTATCGAATCATTTGCAGAAAAAGCCAAACCATTGTATGATTTGTTGAAGTACAATGAGGAAAATGTATTTGGTCCCTGGACAGAAATACAGCAAAAAGCTTTTGAGATGTTAAAAAAATGATTTGCAAAACAGCTCCAGCTTCGGCTACTGTGGATAAACAAGCACCATTTGCTTTGCAAGTGCATGCTTCAGAAACTGCAATCTCAGCTGTCTTGATTCAGAAACAGGGAGGAGTCTGGAGAAGTCTTGGATACTTCTCACGTCTTCTTACACCAGTAGAGAAAGGTTTTGATGATTGTGTCAGACAACTTGTGGGAGTACATTATGCAGTAAAAGCAACAGAGCATATTGTAGGATTCAACAAAATTATTCTACAAACTCCACATAGCACATTGAAGTTTCTTTTTGAGAAAAATGTTCCGGGAGTTTCCAACCAAAGATTTTCTCAATGGTGGTTGGCTCTATCACCTAAGCAAATACAGGTTGAACATAATGCCAAGTATGTCCTACCTCAGTTGATGGAATACAACGGGTTAGAACATGAATGTCTATGTGAAGTCCAAGAAACTTCCTCTCCTCTTTTCCGTAGAGAGGGCAGAGAAAATTGATGAACCTGTATTTGTTGATGGTTCGAGATACTGTATGTCAGGTAATTATTACAGTGGATATTCAATTTGGTATCCAGAGCGTAATTATTCCATACAGCACAAATTGCCAGGACATTTTTCAGCTCAAAGGGCAGAACTTGAAGCAGTAAAAACTGTGTTGACATTAGACAAGGAAGAGAACAGAAGTTCATTAGTGATCTACAGTGACAGTTTATATGTTGTACGTTCCCTGACAGATTATTTACCAATTTGGAAACGTAGAGGGTTTTGTAGATGCATCTAACAAAGTCCTAGTGCACAAAGAGACACTTGAATCAATTTTTTAAGCTAGCAGAGGAAAATCCTATTGCCTATGCAATTGTAAAAATTCCATCTCATAGGAAGGACAATGATGAGATGAGTGTAGGCAATAGAACAGCTGATCTCTTAGCAAAGGAAGCAGCTTTACACGGAGAACCAGTGATTCAGTCTGAACCAGTCTCAGTTAATGTTGTTAGGAAGACAGACACACAGATTCCCTCCTTTGCAGAAGAACAGAAAAGGGATCCATCTCTTTCTGCTTCTCAGGTTGATCCAAAATTTCCCTTTTATATGTGAATATGGATCTTTGTATCATGACTTAAACGGGTTTCTGCGTCCTGTTATACCGCAGCATCTACAGGTAGAATTTACAAAATACAATCACGAAAGCCTAGGTCACATAGGTAAACAAAGATTGCTTGAAATACTCAAGGAAAAATTTTACTGGGACAAAATGGAAGAAACAGTAGACAGTGTAGTGCAATCTTGTCTAATCTGTGCTCAAGTGAATCCTCGACCAAAGGATCAAAAACCTCCATTACAAAGAACTCCTCCAGCAGATGGACCATGGTCCACATTACAACTAGACTATATAGGACCGTTACCTACAGGTAAAAATGGGTACAGGTATGCTTTAGTTGTAGTTGATGTTTTCTCAAAATGGATTGAAATCTTGCCTGTTCGCAAAGATGATGCATTAACAACTGCTAAAATGCTAATTAATCATGTTTTTCCAGTCTGGGGTATACCAACAAAACCTCAATAGTGACAGAGGAACCCACTTCACAGGTAAAATCATGCAGGCAATGTGTAAAATCTTGGGTATACAACAGAGATTTCATGTGCCCTATCATCCACAATCTGCAGGTATTGTGGAAAGAATGAATAGGACTGTCAAATCAAGGATTGCAAAAAATGTTATTAGACAGAGGAAATACTTGGGTTGATGCTGTACCATTGGTTCTGATGAGTGTCAGAAGTACAACATCTTCTGCAACACAGTATTCTCCTTTTGAGTTAATGACAGGAAGGAAAATGCGTCTAGTATTTCCCCATGAACCTTTCTTGAGTACGCCGCAAAAAGAGGCAATAGAAAAAACAAAGTGGTTACAGATGTTGCAAGACAATCTGAACACTATTGTACCACATGCAGCTACTCGCATGCAAAAAATGGTTCCTCCACATTCTTCTAAGTTCGAAAAAGGAGGACAAGTAATGGTAAAAACTTTCAGAAAAACTGGACCATGGCAAAGCAACTGGGAAGGTCCATTTGATATTTTGGATGTTCAAGGAGTAATGGTACAAGTGCAAAGACATCTTAATTCAGTAAAAAATGCGCGCAGACAACAAACAATGTGGGTGCAGAATTCGTGGAAAAAATTTGATTCGAGTCGAATATATTCGCTGTGAATTTAACTTAAAAAAGGGTGTTTCTAGGCTTCAGAGAGACTTTATATTAGTGCAGAACACTGTACCTTTAATTTAAATGCCCTTGGAGTCTGCTGGGGAAGAGAAATAATACTGTCAGTCAGTATGACATGCAGATGAGTGCCGTCGATCTTAGAATCACCGCACACTTCACTCATTTGGCCAGTCACGGGGCCAAAACCAGTGTTTGGAGCCACAGTGTGGCGGTGGAGGCAGCAGCAATGGGAGGCCATACAGCACCCTATGACAAAATGGAAAAGTACGGGGGCCCATGGCAGATTTGGGGCCTGGCAGCACCTATGGGAGGCCTGTAATCTGCCAGCAACCTATGACAAAATGGAAACCAGCAGGAGTGTGAGGAGACCTGAAAGTGGCACATGGCAGAGTGGGAGCAATGGGAGGCGGTACAGGGACCCATGACACACTGTGGACCCAGCAGCAGCGTGACGAGGCGGTACGGGGGCCCATGGCAGATTTGGGGCCTGGCAGCACCTATGGGAGGCCTGTAATCTGCCAGCAACCTATGACAAAATGGAAACCAGCAGGAGTGTGAGGAGACCTGAAAGTGGCACATGGCAGAGTGTGGCGATGGAAACAGCAGCAATGGGAGGCGGTACAGGGACCCATGACACACTGTGGACCCAGCAGCAGCGGACGAGGCGGTACGGGGGCCCATGGCAGATTTGGGGCCTGGCAGCACCTATGGGAGGCCTGTAATCTGCCAGCAACCTATGACAAAATGGAAACCAGCAGGAGTGTGAGGAGACCTGAAAGTGGCACATGGCAGAGTGTGGGAGCAATGGGAGGCGGTACAGGGACCCATGACACACTGTGGACCCAGCAGCAGCGTGACCAGGCGGTACGGGGGCCCATGGCAGATTTGGGGCCTGGCAGCACCTATGGGAGGCCTGTAATCTGCCAGCAACCTATGACAAAATGGAAACCAGCAGGAGTGTGAGGAGACCTGAAAGTGGCACATGGCAGTGTGGAGATGGGAGCAATGGGAGGCGGTACAGGGACCCATGACACACTGTGGACCCAGCAGCAGCGTGACGAGGCGGTACGGGGGCCCATGGCAGATTTGGGGCCTGGCAGCACCTATGGGAGGCCTGTAATCTGCCAGCAACCTATGACAAAATGGAAACCAGCAGGAGTGTGAGGAGACCTGAAAGTGGCACATGGCAGTGGCGATGGTGGGAGCAATGGGAGGCGGTACAGGGACCCATGACACACTGTGGACCCAGCAGCAGCGTGACCAGGCGGTACGGGGGCCCATGGCAGATTTGGGGCCTGGCAGCACCTATGGGAGGCCTGTAATCTGCCAGCAACCTATGACAAAATGGAAACCAGCAGGAGTGTGAGGAGACCTGAAAGTGGCACATGGCAGAGTGGGAGCAATGGGAGGCAATGGGAGGGTACAGGGACCCATGACACACTGTGGACCCAGCAGCAGCGTGACCGAGGCGGTACGGGGGCCCATGGCAGATTTGGGGCCTGGCAGCACCTATGGGAGGCCTGTAATCTGCCAGCAACCTATGACAAAATGGAAACCAGCAGGAGTGTGAGGAGACCTGAAAGTGGCACATGGCAGAGTGGGGAGCAATGGGAGGCGGTACAGGGACCCATGACACACTGTGGACCCAGCAGCAGCGTGACCAGGAGGCGGTACGGGGGCCATGGCAGATTTGGGGCCTGGCAGCACCTATGGGAGGCCTGTAATCTGCCAGCAACCTATGACAAAATGGAAACCAGCAGGAGTGTGAGGAGACCTGAAAGTGGCACATGGCAGAGTGTGGCGATGGAGACAGCAGCAATGGGAGGCGGTACAGGGACCCATGACACACTGTGGACCCAGCAGCAGCGTGACGAGGCGGTACGGGGGCCCATGGCAGATTTGGGGCCTGGCAGCACCTATGGGAGGCCTGTAATCTGCCAGCAACCTATGACAAAATGGAAACCAGCAGGAGTGTGAGGAGACCTGAAAGTGGCACATGGCAGAGTGGGATGGCAATGGGAGGCGGTACAGGGACCCATGACACACTGTGGACCCAGCAGCAGCGTGACCAGGCGGGTACGGGGGCCCATGGCAGATTTGGGGCCTGGCAGCACCTATGGGAGGCCTGTAATCTGCCAGCAACCTATGACAAAATGGAAACCAGCAGGAGTGTGAGGAGACCTGAAAGTGGCACATGGCAGAGTGTGGCGATGGAGACAGCAGCAATGGGAGGCGGTACAGGGACCCATGACACACTGTGGACCCAGCAGCAGCGTGACGAGGCGGTACGGGGGCCCATGGCAGATTTGGGGCCTGGCAGCACCTATGGGAGGCCTGTAATCTGCCAGCAACCTATGACAAAATGGAAAAACCAGCAGGAGTGTGAGGAGACCTGAAAGTGGCACATGGCAGAGTGGAGACAGCAGCAATGGGAGGCGGTACAGGGACCCATGACACACTGTGGACCCAGCAGCAGCGTGAGAGGAGGCGGTACGGGGGCCCATGGCAGATTTGGGGCCTGGCAGCACCTATGGGAGGCCTGTAATCTGCCAGCAACCTATGACAAAATGGAAAACCAGCAGGAGTGTGAGGAGACCTGAAAGTGGCACATGGCAGAGTGTGGCGTTGGAGACAGCAGCAATGGGAGGCGGTACAGGGACCCATGAGACACTGTGGACCTGGCAGCAGCGTGAGGAGGTACAGGGGCCCATGGCAGATTAGGGGCCTGGCCGCAGCAATGTGAGGCCCGTAATCTGCCAGCATCCTATGACAAAATGAAAACACAGCAGCAGTGTGAGGAGACCTGAAAGTGGCACATGGCATGCACATGGACTGTGGACCTGTGGCAGCAGCGTGAGGAGGCGGTACAGGGGCCCATGGCAGATTAGGGGCCTGGGCAGCAGCTATGGGAGGCCCGTAATCTGCCAGCACCCTATGACAAAATGAAAAACACAGCAGCAGTGTGAGGAGACCTGAAAGTGGCACATGGCATGACACACTGTGGACCTTGCAGCAGCGTGAGGAGGCGGTACAGGGGCCCATGGCAGATTAGGGGCCTGGCCGCAGCAATGTGAGGCCCGTAATCTGCCAGCATCCTATGACAAAATGGAACCCAGCAGCAGTGTGAGGAGACCTGAAAGTGGCACATGGCATGACACACTGTGGACCTGGCAGCAGCATGAGGAGGCGGTACGGGGGGCCCATGGCAGATTAGGGGCCTGGCAGCAGCAATGGGAGGCCGTATCTGGGGCCTGGCAGCAGCATGGGACAAGTGGTACAGGGACCCATGAGACACTGTGGACCTTGCAGCAGCGTGAGGAGGCGGCGGTACAGGGGCCCATGGCAGATTAGGGGCCTGGCAGCAGCTATGGGAGGCCCGTAATCTGCCAGCACCCTATGACAAAATGGAACCCAGCAGCAGTGTGCGGAGACCTGAAAGTGGCACATGGCAGGGGCATGATTCATGGCGGATTTAGTCAGTTGTGTCAGGAACTGGTGGTTTGAAATCCAGACTAATCCACGCCTGATTCATTTTCACAAACGTGAGTCTCTCCACACTTTGGGTGGACAGTCGTGTCCTCCGCGGAGTTACAATACCTCCTGCCGCACTAAACACGCGCGCTCCGATGCCACGCTACTGGCCGGGCATGACAGCCTTTCAAGGGCAAATTCAGCTAGTTGGGGCCAAAGGTCAAGTTTCGTTGCCCAGTAGTCAAGGGGATTGTCTACCTCGGTTGGCAGGGTGCTGTCCAAGTAGGCCCAAGCCTGTTGTTTGAGCTCCTGCTCCAGGTCCACCTGATGCTGCTGCTGCTGCTGCGGCTGGTTAGTAGTTTCCTCACTGCGCTGGTGAAGAAAGCTACTCATCATCGACTGCAGACTGAGGCAGCCGCTGCTGGTGGAGCTGCCACTGCTCCCACCCCACCCCCCCTCCCCTGCTGCCATGGCAGCGGAACGCGAGCGCACAGGGCCCACAGTGTCTGAGGATGGACGTTGGCGCAGAAAGGCAGAGACCAACTGACTACATAGGTGGTTTTTATAGTACGTAATTTTGGCCTCCCTCTCAGCAGGTGTGAAAAAGGCCACCATTTTGGAACGGTAGCGAGGGTCCAACAAGGTGGACAGCCAAAAGTCATCCCTCTGTCTGATGGTTATTATTCGGCTGTCGCTACGCAAGCAACCGAGCATGCTATGGGCCATTTGTGCCAAGGAATGCGAGGGACTCCCTGCCTCCATCTCCACAGCATACTGCCACGGTGCGTCTGGGTCCTCTGTCTCCTCCTCCTCCTCCTCTACCAGATGCTCCTGCTCCTCCACTCCTGTCCGCTGAGTGGAAAAACCACCCATTTCACTCAATAATTCCTGAGCACAAATGTCCTCCTCTACCTCCTCCTCTTCTTCCTGTCCTGCCCCCACAGGGGTCATGTGGCGTTGAGATCTGTGCGCCACGTCTACCGCACCCTGACCAGCCATTGTTAACAGCATTTGTTCCAGGACGTGCAACAGAGGAATGACGTCGTTCATCCCATAGTCCTGCCGACTCACGAATAGCGTGGCCTCCTCAAAGGGCCTGAGCAAGCGGCAGGTGTCACGCATGAGCTGCCAATGGCTGACATCGAAGTTACACAGGGGAGTACCTTTATCCGCTTGTAACATCAGGAAATCGGTGATGGCCTTTCGCTGCTCGTAAAGGCGGTCTAACATGTGTAGGGTTGAATTCCACCTTGTTGCAACGTCGCAGATCAGGCGATGCTGTGGAATTCCGTTCTGCCGCTGCAGCTCAAGGAGGGTGTGCTTTGCGGTGTAGGAATGGCTGAAATGCATGCAAAGTTTACGTGACATTTTAAGGATGTCTTGCAGTGGGATGGTGGATTTTAGGAACCGCTTGACAACCAGATTGAACACGTGAGCCATGCATGGCGCATGGCACAACCTTCCTTGACGCAGAGCAGACACCATGTTCTTTCCGTTGTCGGTCAACATGGTTCCGATTTTCAGTTTGCGCGGAGACAGCCATCTGTCGATTTCTCTGTTCATTACACTCAGAAGTTCCTCCCCTGTGTGACTACGTTCGCCAAGGCATACCAGGTGCAGCACAGCGTGACACCGTTGCGCCCTGCACATGTGATATGCCGGTCGGGTAATGGGACTTGGCACGGGGGGGGGTGGCGGCTGAGGACACGGCGGAAGAAGAGGTGGTAGAGGCGGACATGTTTGCTGGACCAAGGACGTGCAAACGTGGAGGCAAAAGCGTCGTGACCTGTCCAAGTTGCTGGTGCGGCTGTGCCGGCACCACGTTCACCCAGTGGGCCGTAAATGACATGTACTGTCCCTGACCGTAGTTACAGCTCCACACGTCGGCGCTGCCGTGCACTTTGGCAGAGACCGACATGCTCAAAGACTGGCCCACCATCTCTTCTACATGTGAATGCAGGGCTGGCACTGCCTTTTTGGCGAAGAAATGACGGCTTGGCACTCTCCACCGCGGCGCGGCACAAGCCATCATTTCTCGGAAAGGTGCTGAGTCCACCAGTTGGAAAGGGAGGGACTGCAGCACCAGCAACTTGGACAGGAGGACGTTCAGCTTTTGCACCGTCGGGTGCGTGCTCGCAAACTGTTGTCTCTTGGAAACGGATTCCAAGAAAGACTGCTGACGGAATCCGTGAAGAGGAGTAGCAGGAGAAGGAGCATCTGAACGAGCGGAAGATGCCAACGAGCGACAACTCCCCTCAGCAGAGGTGTTGGAGCCTTGACTGGCTGATAGAGGGCGATTGACGTCGGGTGACGGAGCAAGTAACGGAGCGGGTGATGGAGCGGGGGCTGGGGCAGGCAGAACCGCCGTATCTTTATCACGGTTTTCCCAGGCCACCAAATGGCGACGCTGCATATGCTGACGCAACGCTGTAGTCCCAACATGGGCCCCCTGGCCACGCTTGACTTTCTGGCCACATAGTCGACATACGGCTACGTTTACTTCCTCGGGCGGCTTGACGAAAAATTGCCACACCGCCGAGTAGGAAACTTTGCCCCCGCTACTCCTCACTGGCTGACTGCTACTTCCTCCGTGCACACCGGCACCACTACTGGCCGTGGTGGTAGGCTGCAGTGGAGCTGGTGCTCTACTCCGTGGCCGTTTGGCTCCACTGACACTGCTGCGACCCTGCTGCCTCCTGGGCAACCCACCGACTGTTTCGCTCGCTGCCAAGCTGGCACCCTCTTCTCCTGATGATGCGGAAGAAATTGCCTGATGACGACGAGGCTGCCAAGTGCGATCAACCTCCTCATCATCAAGTAGGGTCTCCGCCTCACTACTAGCCCCCTCGGCTGCGTCTGGGTCAGGAGACAGACCTGTCTCTAGACCGGCTACCGAGCCACTCTCCTCGCCAGTACTTCTTCGCCTGGCTGCTGAAGAGGCGGATGTCTCCCCCCGTTCCTGACCGCCCTCTGTTAGCTCTTCCTCACTGTACAGTGGGGCTGAGCCCACAGCATGCGATACTTCGCTTGGTGAGGGAACAGCAAAGGACAGGGGCAGGTAGAGGACACGTGATTTCAGTGGGCTTGCTCCCGGGCCATGCCAACTAACGGTTGTGTCTGACGTACACACCGACCGTTGGCTGTAGGTGTCAGAGGTGACCTGGGAAGAGGAAGACGACC